TTTTTTTTTCTTTAGCTGATAGTTTTATTGCATAATTTTCAAAACGTTTGAAATCCCCATCTTAAAAGAAAACATAACAGCTTTACGGGTCCGTTAAGTTACCGGGACCTTCGAGAAACGGGCCCCTGGACCGGTACAGTACTTTCCAGGACGACCGAAGTCATGAGCAGACTTTAACTCTTTGCAACCTGGACACCTACTTTGACGACCCATTGAAAAGAAAAACGAAACAGTACACAATCTCTGGTGAACGCTGAAAGTGAAAACTCACGCGAAATGAAACACGAAACCGCTCGTGCCTAGTACTAGAAAGTGTGTTGCGCAATTGATCCCTTTGAACACGTGCTTGTCCAAAGGGGGTACACTACTTTGTGTCGTCTTATGGAGCCGAACCTCCTTGAGCGGAAATAATTTTTCATTTACTGACGAGGCCTGTTGGACCTTGAGACCCGACGACTTAATCTTAGTAAGGAATCAGCCTTCCCTGCCTGATGCCATAAGCTCTCCACATTTGCATTCCTTCCCCCTCAAACTTGAAGTTGTGATATTCTGACGAAAACCGTCTATCGTTTGTACCTCAAGTGTTTTTCAGTTTCGTTCATTGAGCAAACGAAGGCAGTTGTACCTCTAAGGGCCTGTTTACATGGAGGGAGGGTGCCTCGGCTAATCGAGCTACCCTGGTCGGGCTAACTCCTCATACATTTCTTTGGAAAGCGCTTGAAGCGTTTACATGCTAGAAAGGGTAGCCCGCGTACCCGGGGCACCCTGTCTACTTGCCCGGGGCACCCGCCTAGGCGGGATAGCTTTTTACCATGTAAACTTTGAACTTTGAACTTCATTTATTTCACACTATTAATAGAAGTTAATATACATTGAAAAGTAAGAGAAAGAGAGAAGAATAATAGTAATATTTTGCTATAAAGATAAGTTTGAGAGGTGCACGGTGTCCAAAGTAGCAAAGGCTCTTTAGCTGGACACCGTAATGGTCATATAAATAGATAAATAGAGAGCAGCCTATGATAAAAGTATATCAGCAGTAAAGTAAATAAACTGATTAGGTTTTGTTGAACAAAAGTTGAAGTTTTTTGAAGCTTACATTTTTCCTTAACTGAGTAGATCAGCGGTAAAATAAAATGATCAGGTTTGGTTGAGTAAAAATTGATGTTTCCATTCTCTTTTAAACGGTTCGGGCCGGGCTATCCCGGCTAGCCGAAGAGAAATTAAACGCGAAAACATCGATAAACATGGCGGAAAAAGTGCAGAACAGCAGCCCTAGGCATTGAAAAGCGGCCGCTAGTGGAATGAGCGAAACAAAAATCAAACCTGCCGCCAAAAAGTTTTTTTTCTCGGCCATTTAGTTTCTTTCGCTTAGCGACCGCTCAAAAGATTGCCCACGCAGCCCACTCACTGTCCCGGTTAGTGAGTTGGCGGGATATGTTTTAATCCTTCTAGCCGGGTAGCCCGGTTAGCCGGGGCACCCTCCCACCATGTAAACAGGCCCTAACAGGACGCTCTGAGAGTGCTGCACGCATATCTTTGGTAGGAGCTACATCATGTCCCTCGTTAGAGTATCGTTAAATTGATGACTTCTTTTGGGCAAAGAATCCTATCACAGACATCTTTTACATACTGGGGTTCGGAAAAGTCAAACCACATGACTGCAATACCAATTCGTTTCCTTGCATCCCTAATGGCCGACAAGATGAAGTTGTGGTGGTAACATCCCACTTCATCGCTCCTTAGGTAAATTTCACAAATTAATCAGCGTTACAGTTATTCAAAACTACAAAATCTGTATACCTTGGGCCACTTCCACCTTTTCCACCTAAAAACGAATACAATTCCGCCACTCTTGAAAGCAAACAGTGCGAATTTTCTCGATAAGAAGCTTATTCCCATCGCAAAGTTAACTTGTTTGGACTTCTTGCGCAAATTCAAATCAGCCTAATTATTGAAACACCAAGGAAAAACACACACACACACAAACAAAAACAGACAAAAAAAACTTTAAAAAAGAGAAAAACTTCAAGGTGATATTCAAAATTATAGGCAATAGAAATGAATGATACTTGTACTGTATTTAACTGTATCACCTCAAAACAAGGACATTCCGACGAGATTTCTGCCTGAAATCGGCGTTGCTAATATGTTTTCCCTAAAACTGCATTTTCTGTTTCATGATAAGGTAAATTTTAGTGTAAACTGAAATAAAAAGAAGAAGTATCTCTCCTGACATTAACCATTTCTTTCGACAACTTTAAAGTAACTGCGTGCGATGTAGTTAAATGTGAATCCGTGACATTTTCAAAGTAAAGAGCGTGACACATGACTGAATTAACCCATTCTCGATCATTCTCGGGGAGATGTTCTCGAGCTCTGGTAAGACATAAAGTTCTCTTCATAATGGCATATTTGGAATGAGCGTTTCTAAGTCTGTAAGTGACAGCAATTTTAGTTTTTTCATACCATATGACAGCGGTCAAAACTAACTTAATGGAATTTTGTTAACATGTTCTAGCTCCCATAAGACAGTTAAACGTAATGTCACACAGATGTTCATTTGTACTTTTGTAATTGCTAGATTTGGGGAAAGTTTGGATGAATTTATGGACATCCGCAACTTGAAAAAAAAACAACCGTGCTAGTTTTGAAAATAGGCACTGCCTCAAATATTGATTTTGAGCAAGAAATGGAGTAACACAAATAAGCATAAACTACCGGTAAGTCATGCACTTTGACCGTAGAAAATTAGTAAAGTTCATCGAGCTCCTGTAGCTCGAAAAGACTAGTTACCAAAAATGTTTTTATTGTTTTCGGTACACCAGCCCTAGTACTAAACACGGATAGTGGTGAGGACTCCAGATCCCGTTATACTTTTGAGAAAAGCGTTTTGGAACTCACCCAATTTGGAAAGTGCTGTTTGTGTGGTATTTTCAAAACAGCGTAATTCTTAATTGTTTGATCATAATTTATATATTTTGTTATTAATCAACAGAAGAGATGTAAAATGATACCACATGTCCGATCTATGCTATTTGAACCGAGTGCGTAAGTTTTTGGAGCCTCCAGCGAAACGCTGAAAATTGACTCTCAAATAAACAATTTTCCTTGTTTTTGACGGTCCTCACATCTCGTCGCCAAAAACTTGATAAAATAGCTATACGAACCAAATAAATACAATTTTTGCTGATAGAATAGATCAAATATCTCACAGTAAAATTTGAGGGAATTCTGTGATCGGCCGAAATTCGAGTGGTCGGTTCTTACGCGGACAGCCTCTTATGTTGTTCCTAATACCAGGTGAAAACGGAATTTCAAGTCACTCTTTCAAGGGAAAGTACAGTCTAGAAAAAGTTTATCTCAATTAAAAGACTTTTTCCTCAGGATTTCGAATATAACTGCCATTTCTTTCCAGTTTACGTTGTATTAGCGACAAGAGCGCTCTGAAGTTGCCCATTTTTACAACTTTCGTGGTTAGAAGAACGCCATTTTGGATATTAAGTCAGTTGTGACGTAGCAATAGTCAAACTTTGTTCGGCACTTTGTCCTAGTTGACCTGTTTGACCTTTCTAAAATCAGTTTCTAATACTCCTAATAATTGAGATGAGGTGAACTGTTGTGTGGTTGAATGTCAAAATACATACAAAAGTTCAAAAAGAAAAATACGTAAGCCTCCACAAGCTACCGGAAAGTTAAATATTAAAGAAAAGTTAGCCGGCAAAAATAACCCGCGAGGACGGCTTGCCAAACCCTGCTAAACTAAGACTTCCAGCGAGATATACAGGTATGTAAGTTTTCCTTGTTGACCTTCGCTTCGAACTGAAATCTATGCTTACGTTTTCCATATTCAACACAAATCTCAGTTATTTGTCATATGAATTTTTCCAAACGATTTTATTGTAAACGAATAAATTGAAGTTGTAAATAGTGGTACACCGTGTGTGCTCAATTCTCTGCAGATAGGTGTAAAGTTTATTTTGTCCAGATATGATTCTCAGTTGATAACAATCAAAAGCTTACAGTCTGAAATTCGCTAAGTATAATTACGGCACTGTTATTTTAAGTGGTGATTAACTTCATATTTTGTGTTTAGGAGACAAGGAGGAGAGGGAGGACCCAGAAACGAGAAAGGCATATCAAAATATTGAAATTCTGGGTGGGAAAATTTATATAGTGTAATTAAAATCAACGTTAAAATTTTAAATGGGAATTAAGCTCTTAAATATATAGGTAATCATCAAATATACCAAGAGAGCTGATAACTCATTCCATTTTACAGAACAAATTAATTTAAACACGTGACAAAGAGGCAAAATGTGCTCAATGTGAACAGAAGATTACCTACCTCTTCATAAAGAACTTCCTCCGACTCTTTCGTTTTCTTTGCTCGCCAGGGAAACTTAATCAAACCGCGAAGCCTTGAGGCCATTTGCAACTGACTTGGTTATCAAAAAATCAAGCGGTACACCTGGTGGATGAAATACATAAATAAATAAAGTATCTCTTTGACTTACCGGGGAAATCTTGGCTGAAATGGAAAGCAATTGAAAATCCTTTTTTTAGAACACATTTGAAACGGAGTCGTAAGAACCAACACGACGTCATCATGCATTAAAAATACACTGCGACTGGCTTTCGAAAAAGCTCCCCCTTCTTCATATTAAGGGTTCATATTAAAGACAGAAGTTTACAAAAATTGGTACGGCGTGCACCAGCCGAGTGAAATATCAAGAATTTCAAGTAAATTCTAGTATTTTCCTTGGCTGAGAGCTCGCAGAGTGACCTTCGTGTGAATTGCTCATAGATACTGGTCTGTGCGTGGTTTTGTCGTCTCACTGTATCTGCTGGGAATAATTTTCTGCACCGATTTAAAAGGAGAAAAATAACTGTTTACATAATTTTAATTTATAACTAAGGTAATTCTACAGTTCAAATAAACCATGTCTTGTTGTTTCTATTTTCTTCAATAAATGAAGAAATTTCTTGATCGTCTGGCTGTTTTTTTTTCCTTCGATTCATCCCATAAACTTCATTTGCCAGCCATTCTGACTCTTCGTCGTCAGAAATATGATCCAAATTGTCCATTTTTTTTCAATCTAATTCTTCGCTTGCGCGATGCGAGAAACCTGTCTACTGGTTCTCTGGAGCACAAATACCGCGTGACATTTATACTCTACGGAGTGTAGTTGGATAATAATATGTCATACACATTGGGAGAGAATCCTTTATCGAAACGCATCAATAGTTTTGCTGCTTTAACCATGATAATTTCACGTTTATTCATGGTACCGAAATACTTCGAGTGCGAAAATCCAGCTTTCATGTACACTGCATTTATAAAACATTGCATAAATTGAGAGGAGAAAACAAATGCGATCGCTAAAGAGTAATAATCCCATGCAGAAATGTTGTTTTCAAACGTTTTCTTCATTAGTTTGAAAAAGTGAAAGCTTCATTCTGTGTCTAAGGAGCATGAGACCCTGCCGGCCCCTCTTAACTCCTCCGCCTTCCTCGAAAACTCACTCAGCCCTCGTCATCGTGCATAATGATTTACTGCTATCAGACAAAATTCCTTTCCTGTACAATATTCTAGCGTTGCGTAGTGCTGCGTGACAGAGAAAGAGGGCTAAGGCTACATACGTAGGGTCCTGATATGAATAATTTGGCATACATAACGAGGGACGAAAACCAAATAGTAAGCAGTAAAGCCTTGCTAACAGTACAAGCACAAGTGGCGCACTAACTGCCAATGAAAACATATCGGCCAAGTCAATAATGTTGTGAATTGGCCGACGTAAAGGGTTCAAAAGATGACGTGTTGAGCGTTAGCCCTCTGTCAGAACGAACGCTTTAACTTCTGATAGCCCAGTTCTAAAAGGCAAAATACAAAGATAAAACTAACAACTACACACTCTGAGAATCAGAAAGCTGAAGCAACAAAATGTCGCAATTCCCCGCACTGGGAAATGTGAGACTAAAAACGAAACTTACAGAGCAGAATTTAAAAGGCAAAAAATAAAATACTCATACTGAATTCGGCCGCAATCGTACACTCATAAAGCGCAGCATCGGGCTTTCAACTACCAAGTCGCTTCGACTAGAAACCAAAACTTACGCCTCGACTAGAAAGTATGTCCTTAAACAAACGTTTAAAGGATAGATCGCAATCAACTGTTTTTTTTTTAATCAGTACAAATGGAAATTGAAAGTATGTTCCTCTCGGGTAATCGCCTGAGAGTTGCGTAGTCTGTGATTTCAATCATGGCTGTCCTACGTCGTGTTAACTCACAAAATTGAATTCAATGCGTTTATAACTGAATAAGAAGTTATTCGGAGAAAATTCTTGGCAAGCGATAGAATTCATCTGAACTAGAACTCAACTAGAAAATGGAAAAAATGAAGACGATCGATTGTGGCTTCATTCACTTCCCTTCACATTGGATACGGAGTTTACTCGAGGAACCAAAACAAATAAGGAAAGCAATCACGACTGTACTCGATCAAACTTCGCAAAACCTACCCAAATGACGAAGATCCAGGTCTTCGCTATCCTTTTCGTCGCAAAAAGAACGTAAAATGACCTTCTTACTTTTGTAGTGGAAAGATGGTGCCGTCCTTCTTCGTCTTCGCCTATGATCCAATTGAGCGCCTTGATCCTGTTCACGTGACCCCGTGGAATGATTTCCGTGACGCACAACGCAGAAAACAACACTTATTATAACCCATGTAAATACCTAGCTTGAACTTTCAAGGATAAAGGACCATTCTTAAATCCCGCAAATGGTTACGACCATAGAGTTTACATGTTCCTCAGTGCTAGAGCAATTCACGGAACAAACAGACTCTATCATAAGGTTCTCCATAAAGCGGTGGCGTCGATTTCGTGACATTTCCTGTATGTTGCAAAATTTCGCTTGCTTGGATATCTTTACTTTCCTGCGTTTACAGATGTCAAAATTTACTTGACCGAACGATTGTTAATGACTAAAGGCTGATAGTTTCTAAAGAAACTGTTTGGGCTGCGTCGATGGGGGTAACGAAATAGTTTGAATATATCAACAAAGTTGAAATGGTAAATTGGCCACCGTTACGGTTATAAAAGCTGACGTTTCGAGCGT